AGGATTTAAAAAAAAAAACCAGTAACATCAGTATAACCATAACGCAAACATGTTTAAGGAATTCTGAATGGATGAGTCGTGAAAACAAACCAGGCATAGTCAGGTAGATTACTGAGCTTTTTGTGGAAACAGTTGGCATTTCCAACTTCATATTCAACTTAACTTATCATTTTTTTTTATCAAATTAACTTTGTTTACGCAAATTTTCACATGATGTTTTATGATAAGAAAAAAATATACTCATAGATCTAATCGTGATCTTTTTAACATCATCTGCGTAATTCGGTATTTTTTCTTTATATTTTAAAATGTTAACAGGAATTAAAGGAAGCTCTTTTATCTTATCATGTCTATATCTGTAGAATCAGATATGAAATTAACCTCCTCTACACCTTCCTGACTCATACAAAAGAAAATTGGCAAACGTAAAAAAACAGTCATCTTAATTAAACGAAAATCTTCTATACTTATGTTTAATTTGTATCTAATACAGAAAGAGATACCAAAGTCAATTTAATTAAGTCTGTATCATGGTTTTTATATCTAATGTTATGAGAACATTTGCAGTCTATCTATACAGTTTGTATATAAAACAACTTGACATTTAAAGTAAACATTAAATTCTATTAGTTGTCAGTTTTTGAAACTCAAGAGATTTATTTGATTTTATATGATGAGCGATACATTGAGTGTGGATATAAGATCTCACGCACTTGGTACATCAGAAAATTACTAAACATGCTTTAAGGGCATAACTTCTGCATATGTATGTATGTAAACACAAGGTTGTGCACTGTAGTTTTAAATGACTACAAGTTATCCAATCGTCATGGCCGTACGACGAAAAAGAGTAAATCTTGGCATTAATTTATATTGCCTATACTACACACACATATAAATAAATATATATATATATATATATATAGATTGCCTAACAATGTAATTTTAACACACTATTTAGTATGTAAATATAAGAATGTTTAAAATATTTACAAAATGATGAAAATAAACGCAATATTTCGCTAGACTAACTAGCTTTATCAAGCGTGCATCTATCCAGGTGAAATCGGATGTAGATGATAAGAAACTTTTGCAGCTCAATGTATATGTTGCACTTGAATTTAGCTGCCTTGAAAATAATACATAATTTGGATGAAGTTCAAGATTTTTACAAAATTGGTAGTTGAAGTTAGCAACGTCCATTGGCCAATATTACAGGATAAAAAGGACGATGCTGTGTTCTAAATTATTCTTTATCTTTCCTGTATCTTTTCTCATCTTTTTCGTTAAGACCATCAGGTTCTAAAGTGTGGAGTTGGTGGATCCAAAAATTTTCTCTTCTCCTTCTCGCCGTGGTGTCCCACTCGGTGTTGACTTCTATGATTTGGAAGGTAACATTATCAAAAGAATGTTTTGTTGAACGAAGATGTCTTGTGAGAGGACAGTTTTTGTTGGTTTTGTACCATGAACGATGGTTATTGAGCCGAATATTAAATTTGTCCATTGTTTCTCCCACATACTGAATGCCACATGTGTCACATGTTAATATATAAATTGAGTTCTCCGTTTTACAGTTGGAATTTGAGTAGATGGTATAATTTTGTTTAGTAACGGAGCTGATGAAAGAACTGCTTGTATTGGCAGCTTTACAACACAAGCAGTTCCTTCGACCACATTGTTTGTATCAACCGGGAGATGGAGTAGGCTGCTTTGCTAATACAGATGTCACTAATTTGTCACGGATGTTTTTAGGTCTTCTGAAGGCCATGACTGGTGGTGAGGAAAATACTTTTTTAAGATTTGAATCATTTTCTATAATTTTCCAATGCTTCTGAACAATGGAAGACACATTTTTAAAATCAGGATGGTAAGTGAGTACAAGGGGTGTTCTGTTAGCTGTTTTATTCTTATCTTTGTACTCTAGAAGTTCTTGGCGACTAGTTTTGTTTGCTCTTTCGAAAGCGCTATCAATGATGTTGTTATTGTATCCTCGAACAACTAGATGTTTACGTAGTTGTCCAAGTCTAGCATTTTGCGTATTTTCAGTAGAGCATTCTGCGTATACAACTCGTCTAAACATCAGCCCAACAATGTTAGATCTGTAAATTTGCTTCCGCAAATTTTTAGTTCTTCCCTCGCAGGGATTTGAACTCGTGCTACTGAGATATCGTGACACCAAATCGCCTGCACTGTATCCGACGCGCTAGACCACTCGACCACCTAGGCTTCACAATAATAAAGCTTTCTGTGGCCGGGTGTTACCTTTCCTCGTCAGTTTTAATCTAGCGTCGTAAAACAGTACATGATATATAAGGCATGAAGATGGAATTGTTACAGATCAGCTGAAATATCTATTGTGAAGGATCCTACAAATTAATGCAAGATACAGTCACAGAAATAATTATATTTATAAGTACGTCTGAACCAGTGACAACTCTACAACAGATTTATCCATCGGATCACCAGCAGTGATGGTGATACATGGCTGTGTACATTCTGTATATACAACTCGTCTAAACATCATATATATGAGTTATTAGTATGCACAAAAAAAGTGGTTGGACTGAACTGAAGGACTGCAACGTCACATTGATTTAAACCAATGAAATTTGCTGTTGCAATAATGTACTCTTCAAAAAAGAAGATACAAAAGAACTGAGGTTAATAAAGAGAACGACTATACATTTTACGAAGTTACTACACTAAAAAATTGTCATACATATCTTTTAATTAGTATTTAAGAACAGGTAGGTTCTGTGGATTGATGATGAATATGAATTAGCACGCTCCTGTTAATGGTACGACAGTGGTTCCCTAAATAATTAATCCGGGTCCGTTCGCGCCGATTCACGTTCGCCCCCTTTCATGTTTGCATCCAGTGGCGGATCCAGGAGGGGGGTTCCGGGGTTGGAACCCCCCCTTTTTTTGGACGATCAATGCATTTGAATGGGGACATGTAGTTGGAACCCCCCCCCCCCCCCCCCCCCCTTTTGTCCTTGGTTAGGACCCCCCCCCCTTTTTTAAAATGGCTGGATCCGCCCCTGGCATCCTACACGTTCGAACGCAAAGTCTGTTTGCACCTAGTCCAAATAATTATGACGTCTTGCAAGGCTATTTTAATTTTTTTCTGTGACGCCTACCTGTCGTAGGAAGGTGTCACAGAAAAAAAATTAAAATAGCCTTGCAAGACGTCATAATTATTTGGACTAGTTTGCACCCTACACGTTCACGCCCAAATTTTATTTAAATTATCATATACTATGAAATACAAATCGTACATTGTATCTTCATATCTTTTTATTTTTTGTAATAAAAATGATTGAGTCAAAATTTTAAAAGACTGATAACCTGACAAAAGAATCTGCAAATAGGTAAATATAGAAGGGAGATAATATTTACAGTCCTACATACATATTTCATATGTAGAGAAGACTGATAACCTGAACAAGAAATTGTAAATAGGTAAACATAAAAGGGAGATAATATCTACAGTCCTACATACATATTTCATATGTAGAAAAGACAGATCACCTGAACACGAAATTGTAAATAGGTAAACATAAAAGGGAGATAATATCTACAGTCCTAGATACATATTTCGTATGTAGAGAAGACTGATAACCTTAACAAGAAGTTTTAAATAGGTAAACACAGAAGGGAGATAATATTTACAGTCCTAGATACATATTTTATATGTAGAGAAGACTGATAACCTTAACAAGAAGTTGTAAATAGGTAAATATAAAAGGGAGATAATATCTACAGTTATAGATACATATTTTATATGTAGAGAAGACTGATAACCTGAACAAGAAATTGTAAATAGGTAAATATAGAAGGGAGATAATATTTACAGTCCTAGATACATATTTTATATGGAGAGAAGACTGATAACCTTAACAAGAAACTGTAAATAGGTAAACATAGAAGGGAGATAATATTTACAGTCCTAGATACATATTATACATGTACATCTGTACTTTTGACATTAACAATAAACTTTAACACATATAGTCAGGCATACAAGGGAGATAATATTCACAGTCTTAGATATATATTATATAAATTCTGAAATTTTGAAAGTGAAATTTTTGAATGCAAATAATGTGATTGAGCAAGCATCCAATTGATGAGAACTATTCTAATATCTTATATATCTGTATGAAAGTATTTCTAAAGTGCTCTGGTCTGTCTTGCATATTTTTTATTCAAATAAGATGGCAATATTAAATGCAAGCAATAATTTCTGATTATAAACTACATTATGTTGAAAGGACTGATATGCTTTAGACCTTTACCAGAACCTTTAAACACATATAGATTTGCAACTTCAGATTCAAAATTGTGCCTAGACTCACAAGGATATTTATCGTGACATTATCATAGAAAAGTAGATTTAGATCTTTCTGTTAAAATTTTGTTTGAAATATCAATTTTTATGTATAAGTGTCAAAGTGATGGTTTATATCATTGTGATAAATGTCTTTTTAGCCTTGTGAGTTTCGTCCCTTTCTAAAATAAATTAATGTAAGTTCATATGCAATTGGGACTCATCAGTAGGCATTGCATATGATTTAAAATAAAATACTGAAATGTATATATATATGCATGCTGTTCAGTGTGAGCCTAGGCTCCCTGTTGAAAACAGTACCATGACCTATTAATGGTTTACTTTTATAGATTGTGACTTTGATGAAGAGTTGTTTCATTGGCACTCATACCACATCTTCCTTTATCTATTAACAAGAACCTGTAAATAGGTACACATAAAGGGGAGATAATATCTACAGTCCTAGATACATATTTTATATGTAAAAAGAACTGTAATGTCGTATGACAGAAATGTACACAGTCTTTGACCATGAACAGTGCTAAATATGAAAACAAATTATTTAATTTAACCAGTATAGTACGACATGTGCACATTTGGTATTTAAATCTTTAAGTGAACTCATATAAGATAAGTTAAACAAATGTCTGAGTATATTTGTTAAAAGAAACTATTCTCTTACCTCAACATTAGCCGATGTGTTATTGGTGTAATCATGATCTGAAAAAAAAATGATTTTAAACTATCAGACTTTCTTCATTCCATTTGCAGAAGCACTACAGCTTTAATATTTTTTAATCTGCTAAGTGTCTATAAGGACCAAAATTAGTACAATTAATTTTCAATTTGTAACAAAAGAATAAATAGTAGCTGCATAGGTTATAGTGCTAAGCTCATCACTGGTAAATCTCCATATAAATGCAACTAATACTTCTTCCTGATATGGGAAAGACTTCAGTGCCTGAGTGTGGAATATCCCTGATTACTTAATGAACATTTAAAACAATATATCAAAACAAACTAGAAATTTCATAACAAAAAGAGCAAAGAATACATACATCAGTAAATAAAATAATACAGCAGGAGTTGAAGGATTTAAATTGCAAAATTTAAATAATTTAGGTACCATTTGATAATACTGTGTAATCTAATAAGAATGAGAACAGACTTGAATAAAAGAAGACTTTCAATAGTATTTTCTTTATTATTAATGCAATAATTCCCAAGTTTATAACTCCTAAAAAATATTATATCAGATTGTTTCAAATTGTCAAACGTGTTGCTAAAACAAATCCCAAAAAAACAATGAATATTGTTCAATTGAGAGAATTTACTACATTGAATTTGCTTTATTGACATTTTCGTATCCAAAAGACAAACACTGCATCAAACAAAATTGAAAAGCAAAACTTTTGTAGAGGATGTAAACTCTTTTTAAGCATTTTTTTTTTCTGAAGGAGAGTTTTAAGTGTGAAAACATTTTCAATATTCAACTGGCATCCATTTCTCGTCACATATTCATTGATATAACCAGATATTTTAAAACAGACAGTATATATAATAAATATTTTATACCTTTCTGAATTTCTGGGCAGATGTCATAAAAACCATCAACTTCTTGCAAGATATTACATACAGCTTGGCAATGCAGACATTGTTTAAAAGTTGTTGAAAAAACTGTTAAAAAAAGATCATCATTAAAATATAAGATAAATGAAAACTGACATAAGCTAATCCATACATACAGTTATTTCTCTCAAATAAGTAATTTTCATTAAAAAGGTAATAGGTTGTAATTATCATTATTAACAATACTAGACAAAGTGATGCCCCCGCCCACTCCCCTCTGAAGTATGCCCCTGCAGATGCAAAGTTTTATTTCAAAATACACAAAGTTAAACATGGGAGCACATAGTTTTATTGTTCACTGTAGGACTTCCTCTTATACAGATAAATACTCTAAAAATTACTAAGTTCAACTTTCTCCCAAAAGAGCAATTATTAACAAAAATCAAAACCTTAACCACAGGCACACAATAAGTATATGTAAAAACAGTCAGTAAAGTGAACACATCATAGCATTCAAATTGTAAGAGAAGTTTTCAGAAAATGCTATGCATCTCATATGCAAGTTTATACTGCAAAAATTACTAAGTTCAACTATCTCCCATAAAAGCAAATATCAATACCCTAACCACATGCACATCCACATGTACATCTTCAATATGTGTACAAACAGACAGCAATGTGAAAACATTAGCATTCAAACTGTAGGTGGAGAAATGCAGAATAACTATATACGCATAATAGGACAGACGGTCTACAACAGGGGTAAAACAATATGCCCTCAACTTAACTTTTACTTGCGGGGCATAAAATACTAGTTAATACGTAGAGATATATAGATATATGTTAAATCTCATGATATATAAGTATTTAATAGAAAAGATCTAAACAGAGAGTTGCTATTCATTGAGGTTTTGAGTTTCGTATTAACAGATAGATTTCAACTAACAGATAGATTTCAACAGAGAGAATCATTTGGATACCTTTATAACAAAGAGTCTAATAAGTTTGTATTGAGGTTATATATTAACTCAAAATATTACTTATAAGCAACTGTACCTTCAAAATCAGTAACAACATGGTCTGAAAGACTCTCAAGTAGTTCATGTCTATTTGGATCACAACAGCAGCTGTAAACCCATCTAACTTCATTTGAAAATGATTTTGGTTCTCGTTTAACAATGAAAAATTCTTCTTCCTATTTAAAAAAAGTATCAAAAGTTTATTCATGTTGGACAAGGAATACTGGTTATCAACTTTAATCCAACCCGTGGATCTTGGGAAAAGTCACATGTTTGTTAACTTCTAATTATTTTTTTTATCTGTAATGTAATCAGATATTTTTTTCTATCCTTCTGTCTTGTATAAATATTGCTGATAATTTAATAAACTTTGTTTTAACAACGCTTAAACTTGGATATATACTTAAAATTTATACAAATTTTAATAGTTGATATTTACTTCTTCACAAATCATTTAATCTGTACCTTTTGGTGCACGTTTGTAAATTTTTGTTTTTGTCATGATTTATTATAATGAGTTTAAATTCTCCATTTAGTATCATCTGAATGGTTGTCATTTTTCTCATGGTTTTGTTGTGTTTTCTATTATATGCATATGTTGTATGTCACATGCAAGTTTCTTTTAAAAAGTTGTGAAACATGTGCTGCACATTGTACAATACCTTAAGAACAAATTTACTGGTGTCAATGTCTGGGACAACAAAAAGTGTCAAAGATTCATCTACAGCATGAATTTGTCCACATTTCAGTAGGTGTATATATGACTCTAATTCTGATATTTCTCCAGCAACTTTGTCAGCCTGAAATAAATATATCTATATTGAAAGAGAAATTAAACATGACTTCTTATTTATTTGATACCTAAAAATACTTCATACAAATCTAGAGGGGTCATAATACTCCTTTATACACAGTACGTATATTTTGAAACTGCCTAAAATAAATCAACTTTCCAAAGATTCACTTATATATGCAATTAGGGGAAAAAAGAAGTGGGATTTTATATACAGTCATGCAGTCTTATATAGATATTGTGTTTATGATAATGACTGCTATTAATCAACTGTTACATAAATATGTAGTTAGATACATATTTTACATGTAGTGAAGACTGATAACCTGAACAAGAAACTGTAAATAGGTAATAAAATTGAGAATGGAAAATGACATAGAAGGGAGATGATATCTACAGTCCTAGATACATATTTTATATGTAGAGAAGACTGATAACCTTAACAAGAAACTGTAAATAGGTAAACATAGAAGGAAGATGATATCTACAGTCCTAGATACATATTTCGTATGTAGAGAAGACTGATAACCTTAACAAGAAACTGTAAATAGGTAAACATAGAAGGAAGATGATATCTACAGTCCTAGATACATATTTCGTATGTAGAGAAGACTGATAACCTTAACAAGAAACTGAAAATAGGTAAACATAGAAGGAAGATAATATTTACAGTCCTAGATACATATTTTATATGTAGAGAAGACTGATAACCTTAACAAGAAACTGTAAATAGGTAAACATAAAAGGGAGATAATATTTACAGTCCTAGATACATATTTTATATGTAGAGAAGACTGATAACCTTAACAAGAAACTGTAAATAGGTAAACACAGAAGGGAGATAATATTTACAGTCCTAGATACATATTTTATATGTAGAGAAGACTGATAACCTTAACAAGAATCTGTAAATAAGTAAATATAGAAGGGAGATAATATTTACAGTCCTAGATACATATTTTATATGTAGAGAAGACTGATAACCTTAACAAGAAACTGTAAATAGGTAAACACAGAAGGGAGATAATATTTACAGTCCTAGATACATATTTCGTATGTAGAGAAGACTGATAACCTTAACAAGAAACTGAAAATAGGTAAACATAGAAGGAAGATAATATTTACAGTCCTAGATACATATTTTATATGTAGAGAAGACTGATAACCTTAACAAGAAACTGTAAATAGGTAAACACAGAAGGGAGATAATATTTACAGTCCTAGATACATATTTTATATGTAGAGAAGACTGATAACCTTAACAAGAATCTGTAAATAAGTAAATATAGAAGGGAGATAATATTTACAGTCCTAGATACATAGTTTATAGGTAAAGAAGACTGATAACCTTAACAAGAATCTGCAAATAGGTAAACACAGAAGGGAGATAATATCTACAGTCCTAGATACATATTTTATATGTAGAGAAGACTGATAACCTGAACAAGAATCTGCAAATAGGTAAATATAGAAGGGAGATAATATTTACAGTCCTACATACATATTTCATATGTAGAGAAAACTGATAACCTGAACAAGAAATTGTAAATAGGTAAACATAGAAGGAAGATAATATTTACAGTCCTAGATACATATTTTATATGTAGAGAAGACTGATAACCTTAACAAGAAACTGTAAATAGGTAAACACAGAAGGGAGATAATATTTACAGTCCTAGATACATATTTTATATGTAGAGAAGACTGATAACCTTAACAAGAATCTGTAAATAAGTGAATATAGAAGGGAGATAATATTTACAGTCCTAGATACATATTTTATATGTAGAGAAGACTGATAACCTTAACAAGAAACTGTAAATAGGTAAACACAGAAGGGAGATAATATTTACAGTCCTAGATACATATTTCGTATGTAGAGAAGACTGATAACCTTAACAAGAAACTGAAAATAGGTAAACATAGAAGGAAGATAATATTTACAGTCCTAGATACATATTTTATATGTAGAGAAGACTGATAACCTTAACAAGAAACTGTAAATAGGTAAACACAGAAGGGAGATAATATTTACAGTCCTAGATACATATTTTATATGTAGAGAAGACTGATAACCTTAACAAGAATCTGTAAATAAGTAAATATAGAAGGGAGATAATATTCACAGTCCTAGATACATAGTTTATAGGTAAAGAAGACTGATAACCTTAACAAGAATCTGCAAATAGGTAAACACAGAAGGGAGATAATATCTACAGTCCTAGATACATATTTTATATGTAGAGAAGACTGATAGCCTGAACAAGAAACTGCAAATAGGTAAATATAGAAGGGAGATAATATTTACAGTCCTAGATACATATTTTATATGGAGAGAAGACTGATAACCTTAACAAGAAACTGTAAATAGGTAAACATAGAAGGGAGATAATATTTACAGTCCTAGATACATATTTCATATGTAGAGAAGACTGATAACCATAACAAGAAAATGTAAATAGGTAAACACAGAAAGGAGATGTTATCTACAGTCCTAGATACATATTATACATGTACATCTGTACTTTTGACATTAACAATAAACTTTAACACATATAGTCAGGCATACAAGGGAGATAATATTCACAGTCTTAGATATATATTATACAAATTCTGAAATTTTGAATGTGAAATTTTTAAATGCAAATAATGTGATTGAGCAAGCATCCAATTGATGAGAACTATTCTTATATCTTATATATCTGTATGAAAGTATTTCTAAACTGCTATAGACTATCTTGCATATTTTTCATTCAATTAAGATGGCAATATTAAATGCAAGCAATAATTTCTGATCGTAAACTACATTATGTTGAAAGGACTGATATACTTTAGACCTTTACCAGAACCTTTAAACACATATAGATTTGCTACTTCAGATTCAAAATTGTGCCTAGACTAACAAGGATATTTATCGTGACATTATCATAGAAAAGTAGATTTAGATCTTTCTGTTAAATTTTTTTTGAAATATCAATTTTTATGTATAAGTGTCAAAAAGGTGGTTTATATTATTGTGATAAATGTCTTTTTAGCCTTGTGAGTTTCGTCCCTTTCTAAAATAAATTAATGTAAGTTCATATGCAATTGGGACTCATCAGTAGGCATATGATTTCAAAAAAAATACTGAAATGTATTTATATATGTATGTTCCTTGCAGTTTAAATATTAAAATTTAAGGGGGCTCGAGGGTATAAATACAGGATTTCACTATTTTTTTCTGTAAATGAATTTTATCCTATACTCAATAGAAAAAATTAATAAAAATATGGGGTACCCGTTCATGTAAGCTCACAATCTGTCTTCAAAAGAAACATGCATTTTTGTTGGGATTCTTTTTTCTGTTGAACATGTTGAACAAGTAGGAGAAATAAAGGAAGGTAATATCAATGAGTAAAAAAAGATATATCAATTGTGATGCAAAAAAACACACATTTTTTTTCAACAAAGGGAGATAATTTTGAGCTTTTTCAATGATATAAACATTTTAAAATTCATAATAGGCTAAAACAAATTGATTTTTTTTGGTTAATTTTTGTACCATATCATAAAGTATTGTTTTCCAAATGCAAAGAAATAAAAATAAACGTCCTAAGGCCAAATAAAAAATGATGTTTGCTTCCTATTACCCTACCCTCCCTGTTATTTAAGCTAACAAAAAGCAATCCCTAAATTTTCGATAGGCACTGTTATAAAAGTCAGAATGTCCCTCCCATACACGAAATGTAAAAAAAAATAGTAAAATAAAAAAAATCCCTACTTACCTACATTTACCTTATAAGATGTAATAGGAAACCCTCATATTAATTTTTTTTTCAACTAACCTAAAATGATGTATAAAGGGACAATAATAACCTACTCTCTACTTTAAACCATGAGTGTAAAAAAGGGTAATAAAATTCAATGCATATTATGCAAGTTATGGCAGATGAAAAATAAGTAAATTAATCATATTTTACTTCAAATAAAAATTGTTTCGAAGCTATGATGTAGCATAAGTTGTATCAATTTCATTCAAACTCTAATTACATTGTTAGCAGGTAAGAAATCTGCTTTGAAACTGCTACTATACTCTGAATCTTCACTTGTGCCTTCACTTCCATCTGCTTGTTTCATTTTTTTACCATAATTTAAACTTCCTTTCTGTAATCTCTTACGTAGTGGCACCTTTGAAGTATCCAGAGGATCCTCTCCTTCTCTACATGAAGATTTAAACCCATGTTCAGTTTTAAATCTAGTTTTCTGAAAATACAGTTTTTATTTTTATATATATTTCAAGTCTTACTAGCATAATAAAAAGAACAAGCTTATGAGAGTATTGCGTGGCAATACACAGGGCTCACACTACTTCAGAATGATAGGGAGAAGTGACTTCTCTTTTAA